GCTCAGTAAATATTTGTCGAGAGAATGAAAGAACTCGAATTCTTTTTTTTTTTTTTTTTTTTTTAAGTCAGTCTTTGTCACCCAGGCTGGAGTGCAGTGGCGCGCTTACGGCCACCGCAGCCTCCACCTGCTGGGCTCAGGCAATCCTTCCGCCTCAGTCTCCCAAGTAGCTGGAACTACAGGCGCGCGCCACCACGTCCAGCTGATTTTTTGATTTATTGTAGAGACGAGGTCTTGCCAAGTTGCCCAGGCTGGTCTCAAACCCCTGCGCTTAGGCAATCCTCTTGCCTCGGCCTCCCAAAGTGCTGGGATTATAGGCGGGAGCCACCGCGCCCGGCCACACCTTTAACAATTAATCTTCGCACTTCAGGTGGGAAAACTGGGGCCTGCGGTTGAATTCCCAAGCCTCCCAAGTCCAATCCCCCAGCCCGGGAACGATACAGTCCACCCTTCAGGGATCACAGTCCGGGATCCGGAGAGCGGCTGGTCTCGTGAGGGGCGGGGCCTGTCTCGTCGTGGGGCGGGCCCAGCGTCGTTCCTCCTTCCTACTGGCACGCCTTTCCTTGTGGGCGGGGCCTATTCGCCACCGGCTTTCTCGATTGGCTGCTTCCCCCCCGCGGCCCGTGACCCGGACGCTCTCTGGGCTAACATGGCGGCGCCCAGCGGCAGGACGGAGGCGTCCTGGAGGCCCCAGCCGGCTGTGTGAGTAGGTAGGTGGCGCGTGGGAAGGCGGACGCGAGCTGCCGGGCTCCGGAGAGGCCTGGCCCAGCCCGGCAGCGCTAGCGGGCAGCCCCAAAAGACCCAGCTGCCCGACCCGGGCGCCATGACCTTTCGTGGTGGGGGCGGGGACGTGCCAGGAAAGGCCGCCTGCCCCCGGGCCCACGACCCTGTTCTCCCGCTTTGCAGATGAGACAACTGACTCCAAGAGGTTGAGGCCCCTTCCCGAGGTTACGCCGCCAGCGGCAGAGAGGCGGGGATTGGAACCTGTCTCTGCCTGTTTTTCCCAAGGGATCCAGAATTCTTTTGTTTTTCTGGTTGGAGTCTCACTGTCGCCCAGGCTGAAGTGCAGCGGCACGCGCACGGCCACCGCAGCCTCGACCTGCTGGGCTCTGGTGATCCTTCCGCCTCAACCTTCCGAGTAGCCGGAAACAGTAGGTGCGCACCACCATGCCTGACCTTATTTATTTGTTTATTTATTTACTTAATGTTGAGACGAGGTCTCACCAAGTTGCCCAGGCTGGTCTCGAACCCGTGGGCTCCGCAATCCTCTCACCTCGGCCTCGCAGAGTGCTGGGATTATAGGCGCGAGCCACCGCGCCTGGCCATGGGACCCAGAATTCTTGCAGCCGGTCTTGGAGCTGCTGTACGCACACTACCTCGGGGCTCGGATAAATCGATGTTTTGCAACAAAGTAGTGCCTGTTTCCATTCAGTTGATACTCTGTAGGCACCGTCCATGTACTGCTCACTGTTCCGGGTGCTTGGGACATAGCAATGAGGAAGAGACACCAAAATCTTCTATCTCCTGGGGGAGCCAGACATCGAACAAGTCAGAAATAAAACGAGGCCGGGCGGGGTGGCTCACGCCTATAATCCTAGCACTCTGGGTGGCCGAGATGAGAGGATTGCCTGAGTCCACGAATTCAAGACCAGACTGGGCAACTTGGCGAGACCTCATCTCTACGATAAATCAAAAAATTACCTGGGCCTGGTGGCGTGTGCCTGTAATTCCAGTTACTTGGAAGACTGAGGCAGAAGGATCACCTGAGCCCAGCAGGTGGAGGCTGCGGTGGCCATGAGTGTGCCAACTGCACTCCAGCCTGGGCGATAGAGTGAGACTCCAACCAAAAAATAAAAATAAAAAAGAAAGAAATAACACGGGTGCTAAGAATGCATTGATGGACTGGGTGTGGTGGCTCACACCTGTAATCCCAGCACTTTGGGAAGCGTGGAAGCAAGGGGATTGCCTGAGCTCAGGGGTTCGAGACCAGCCTGAGCAACATAGTGAGGCTTGTCTCTACAATAAATCCAAAAGTTAGTTGGGTGTGGTGGCGCAGACCTGCAGTTCAGCTACTTGGAAGGCTGAGGTGGAAGGTTCGCCTGAGTCCAGTCAGTAGAGACTATAGGGACCATGAGCAGGTCATTGCACTCCAGCCTGGGTGGCAGAGTGAGACTTCCACTCAAAAAAAAAAATGCAATGATGGATGATGTGGGATTCTAGAATGGGGGCAAGGGGAAGCAGTCAGAGAAGACCTCTCATTTGCATAGGGAAAAGCAAGTTGCAAAGGCTGGGAGACTGGAATGAACTTGGTTTGTTTCATAGACAGTGCAATCAGAGCTGTCAGTGGGTGGAGTTTGGAGGGGTAAATCCTGTCATATTTTATGTAATGTTGGAGTCTCACTCTGTTGCCCAGGCTGGAGTGCAGTGGCACACTCATGGCCACCCCAGCGTCAACCTGCTGGGCTCCAGTGATCCTTCCACCTCAGCCTTCCAGGTAGCCAGAACTACAGGTGTGTGCTACCACGCCTGGCTAATTTTTGATTTATTGTAGAGATGAGGTCTTGCCAAGTTGCCTGGACTGGTCTCAAACCTGTGAGCTCAGGCAATCCACCCACCTTGTCCTCCCAAAGTGCTGGGATAGCAGGCTGCCAGCTAACTTTTGAATATTTTTTAGAGACATGTTCTCTCTGAGTTTCCTAGGCTGGGTTTCAAACCCCTGGCCTCAAGTAGTCTTCCCATCTCATCCTTCCAAGGTGCTGGGATTACAGGTGTGAGCTACCATACCCAGCCTGGCATGGGGACTTTTTTATTTTTATTTTTTTGAGTTGGAGTCTCACTCTGTTACCCAGGCTGGAATGCAGCAGCACACTCACAGCCACCGCAGACTTGACCTGCTAGACTCAGGTGATCCTTCTGCCTCAGCTTTCCAAGTAGTTGGAACTATAGGCATGCACCATCATGCCCGTTTAATTTTTTGATTTATTATAGAGACAAGGTCTCACCATGTTGCCCAGGCTAGTCTCGCACCCATGGGCTCAGGTAATCCTTTTACCTTGGCCTCAAAGTGCTGGGATTACAGGCTTAAGCCACCGTGCCTGGCTCTGGTGGTTCTTTTTTTTTTTGAGTTGGAGTCTCACTCTGTCGCCCAGGCTGGAGTACAGTGGCATGCTCATGACCACCGCGGATTCGACCTGCTGGGCTCAGGTGATCCTTCTGCCTCAGCCTTCCAAGTAGAGAACCACAGGTGCGCACCATCACGCCCAGCTAATTTTTTATAATTATTCATTGTTGAGATGAAGTCTAGCCAAAGTTCTCAGGCTGGTCTTGAACACCTAGGCTCAGGCAATCCTCTCACCTCTACTTCCCAAAGTGCTGGGATTACAGGCGTGAGCCACTGACCCCAGCCCAGAATCTGCATTTTAACAGGATTTCAGGGGATTTGTCCGAACTTTGAAGTTGGCAAACATTGCAGGCTTTAGACAAAGAAGCAAGTCTTGCCAATCGGCTAAGAAACAGAGGCCTGGAGGCTGGGAAGAAAACCACAAGTGTTAAGAAATTGGGACAGGCAGCAGGCTGACGCTGGGGTGGCCGTGAGTGTGCCACTGCACTCCAGCCTGGGAAACAGAATGATTCTCCAATTAAAAAAAAAAAAGATATTGGGGCAGGACTGGGCAGCACTTTGGGAGGTAGAGACAAGAGGATTGCCTGAGCCTAGGGATTTGAGACCAGCCTGGGCAACTTGGCAAGACATCATCTGTACATTAAAAAAAAAATAGCCGGGTGTGGTGGTGCATGTTTGTGGTTCTAGCTACTTGGAAGACGGAGGTAGAAGGATCACCTGAGCCCAGCAGGTCGAGGCTGCAATGGCCATGAGTGTGCCACTGCACTCCAGCCTGGGTGACAGTGAAACTGACTCAAA